ACGCGGAGAGCATGCTCTCCAGTTAGCTAAAGGCAACTTTTTCCTTAGATCTCTCTGAAGGATCAAGATTTGGTTTAAGGCAATAGACGCGACTGATAGACGGCGCTCTAAAGGGAACTGCTACTCCTCTCCCTCATGAGCATCTCTGCTCACAACAGCTTCAGAAACAGCTGGAACAGGCGGCTCTGAGCTGCAGGGATGCTTTGCAGTGCTCCACGTTTCTAACCCTTCCCCAGTAAGTACTGTCCTATCCCTTAGCTTCCACTCATAACAACAACTTCTACTCTTTCTTCCCTAAAATAACACGGTAAGAAGTTTACTAAGGACACTGACTCTTGTACATATCAAAATCAACAGGCTTACAAGGTCACCTCCAAGTTCGAATTTCACTGCTGAACAGGCATATTTCATTCAGTTCTAAACAGTGTTGTCAATACACTGGTTTAATTTGCCCAAATCCAATTGGCTTTTTACACCTGCAAAACAGTGACCTTTTGTTTCCCCAGTACAAGAATTTGAAAACTTTAGAGAAAATATACTGATCTAAAGTAGATGCACGGTGCCTAGTGTTTTAGGCACACAAGAAAACAGTTATCTAAAAGTAATACACACCAAACTTGTTCTCCCAAATAGGCCAGGGTACATATGATTAACTTAATTTCTTATCAGACTTTACTACTCATACCATCACCCTTTTTTGAAATCTAATAATTCAGAAATAATTTTCAGAAGCTTGGACACAAAGGGCATATACAAAATCACATAAATAAGACTTAATGGAGTATTAGATTTACTTCTTAAATGGAGATCAATAAGATGAGCATTTATTCAGCTGGTTAGGTTGAGGGTATTGTTTTTATGCTTTTAGTTTTTAAGAGCTAGGTATAACCAAGAGATTATTCAGTAAAAACTGCTGGATTTTTCAGCCTCATGTCCACCAATACCATTGAAGCTTGACAGCAACAAACACAGCATTTCTGAGAAGGTGTTTCCGGTAACAAAGAAATATAGAGTTACAATATTCAAAAGAGCACCTATGAGTCATTGTAGCAACTAACTGAAGAACTTAGAGCTTTTAGTATGTAACTAGACTTCTGCAATCAGTTTTTAGGTTAAGAATATTTTCCATTCATTTACATTTTGTTTTTAATGGAATCAGAGATACGCAGTGACATTTTGGGGTCTCCTGAATCAGTTTGTGACAGTCTCAAATGCATCTTTTAAGCCCAGTTTACCACAGAGGTAGTGAAGACTGGACATTCGCAGCTTGCAATGGACCAGGATTCCGCACAGATTTGCAAATTGCTCTCGCATACCCAGCCCTTGCAGAAACAACACCCAGGTCTATGCTGGTACAACAGGTGCTTCCAAACTGTCAGACTGTGGGCGTTTGCACTCCCTGAAGCAGGGTCTCGTACAGGCTTGTGGATCCTTATATTGCATTTTAGAATAATGAAAGGGTTTTGCATGCTTACGCACTGTGAAGATAAGAGTCCATGGCTCTTTTGCAACAAACATGTCAAAAATGTTTGCTCACATTTTTCTTATATCCTCCTCTCCATCATCTATTACAACACACTTAGTTCTCCTCTTTTCAGGGAGTCTCCATGAATCTGATCCTTACCTTTCAGATACAATAGTGTAACTAAGAGACAGATGCAAACAATAAGCAAGCAAGGAGGATCCCATATTAATAAAACAATGCGCTATAAAGAGACAATATACTCCTTCGGGAAGCGGGAATGCTTTTTGGCATGCATTTGTATCATGTCTAGTTTAATGAAGCCCTTTCCTAGAACATGCTACAGCAATGGAGAGAAGTACTTAGATTCCAAGCAAAAAATACATTTGCATACAAGTTCAAATCCTTCCTGTTCAGACCCAGAAAGGTCCCCTACTGAGTTTCAGCTTTAGGAACAATTAGATATCTCGTAGAACTCGAAGTCACAGTGGGTGTCCTTCAGAGGTCAGTAAGTTGAGAGGAAACAGCCTGTAAACAGCTAAGAGGAACTGGAAGACAACTGGCAACCTCAAGTGAAAGAAAAAAAAAGAGAGGCTGGCATCATAGAAAGATGAGCGAATAAGAGTGGTGAAAGGAAAAAAAAATCAGAATACAGAAACAAGAGGGATTGAGAATTGCTCACTGCCATTAGTGCACGGAATTTTGAACTTGATGCCACGAAGAGAGAGAAAATTGAGAGGTTCAAAGAACATGGAATGATAATGAGATGTTAAGAAAGATGGTTAAATGCTCTCGTGTAACCCAAAGTGTCACTATTGAATTCTTCCCTTCTCCTCACCCACTATTCTTCCACTTAAACATACATTTTCCTTACAGACTTCTGACCCCAGTGCCTTTTCTACTGTGTCTTCCTACAATCCCGAGGAGCAGACTCCTACTTCACTATGGTCAAGCTTGGGCTACAAAGCTCTGCTCTTTGACCCCAGGCTGCAGCAGAAAACCAGCAGCTCCTCCTTCCTCCAGCTGCCAAATTCCACGAGTTGCTTCCACTGAGAGCAAGGAAAGAAAATGGCTTGTTATTTCTCCTCACCTCCCTTCACCCCTGTCAGGACAACAGACTGTCCAAGGAAAGAGCAGACCCGATCTCATGCCAAAGAACCACATATTTGATCACATGTGCTTCTTTTGCAGAGATCAGGGCAGCAGATCAAGCACAGGGTTGGAAAAAGAACTCTCAATGTGGTGAGCCTCCTCCAAATGCAAATGCAAACAGTGCTCTTTGTTGTGCACAGCACTGCTAAACACAAGCTATTATTACATTTTACTACATCGCCACCATTCACATTACAGCCTTGGACTCAGAACAGGATTATGCTAGTATCCTGCTGGTTTAGGACACCTGATCGACTAGCACACTAATGGAGCTTGAAGGACCAACTTATGACAGAGAGTTCCTCTTCATTAGTATCTGGATTTGCTGAAGTAGTACCCCACAACGACACGCAAACACTGGTTCACTACAGCTTGACAACAGTGAAGCACACCTGAGAAGAGGACATACGACAGCTTACATACTGTGACTGCTTTATCTGCATACGGCACATCTGCATATGGCCACAGACAAGCCTCACTGTATATAGAAACAAGCTGTATCGCATAAGAGCTGTACTTCTTACTAGCACATTTCAAAGCCCAAACTGTAGATCAGCATCTGCTAAACTACTCACTGTCAAGATTTCTCCCCACAATCCTAAATAAAACATTTAGGATGGGCGGACATTTGGACACTTACCCTTTAGCCAAGCCATTTTGATCATTTGTAAGAGCCTAGTCTTCTGACATGTTGGTTAAAACTCTGCTTTGTGGGCCATCCCATGAGAAAGAGAGATTTTTTATGAGGATCTGATATCAGATGATGGAAAGGCGCGGGCAGTGAGCCCATTCAGCTCTCAAGTTAAAGAACAGGAAATAACCAAATTGAACAATATCAAAAAATAAATAACCCAGGTAATGAGTGAATAACTACTGATACTCCATGCCAAAGTCAGTCAAATTATGACTGCTGAACTATGCCTTCATGCCTTAACTGGTACATGTGTTAACAAGCAGTGTACTTTTATAGTTTCTGCCATTAAAAATAAATGCATCATTTATTAACACAGCTAAAAATATTAACCACCTAAAAAGTGTGGTTCAGCAAACTAAACCATCCCATCGGCAACAAGTAAAGCAAGTTTCTGAAACTTTTGCCTAAACAAGGCATTTTTAATGTACATTTCTATGTATTTTTTATTAAATGCAAGAAAGCATTAGGTGGAAGGTGACAAGAGTCTGTGTAGCAGTTTTCTTGCAATCTGTTTACATTACGCTGTCAGACAATACAATTTCTCAACACAAATGCAGTTAGCATCATACACCTCTGCAATCCACAGCTGCCACATCACAAGCCTCTTCAGACCAAGACCTTCGCTAGCCATTGTGAGTGCTTAGCAGACTGGATTTTTGTTAGAAGTGAAATCACAGCGGATTGAGGAAACCCACACTTCAGCCAATCCTAAAAATGTGAAGCATGCACAACTTCCCACACCACTGGGCTAACCTGCCATAGCGCTGGGCTGCTGACATGACCTTGATGCCAGCTTGTTCGAGTCTTCTTAATTTTCTGATCTCTTCTGCTTCTTTCCCCTTGGGTGCCGATGTTTCTTTTGCGCTACATGAAGGAGACTGGTCTATGGAGTTTCCTTCGTTTTGATTCAAACCTACTTGATTTTTAAAGGAGCTTGCCTCGGGAGCCATGGAGCCCACTGTCTCCTTTTCACACAGTCCTGATGTTTCATTCTGTTCTTCTTCCTCTATGGTTTCATGGTGGGGTTTGCTATTGAATTATACAAGGCAGTTTAATGTATGCTGTGCCTGAAACATATACACGTCTTTATTATAAGCACATTTTGTTGATATCAAGACGCCAAATGGTATTCTGATGAGTGATCCGGGAAGATAATTATTCTCTTTAGTGGAAGTTGCTTCTTAGGCCAAATCAAAAGTGAAATATCAGTTGGCAAAACCATCATGCAGAAACGCATAGTCACAGCTATACTGGTGTATAGAATACAACATACAAATAAATTTAACAAAAACACAGCAAAAATATTACCTATTTTGACCGAATACATTAAACATTACTTGTAAGTATCATTTGTCGGTGAGTAACTATCTATCTTGAGAAGTGAGACAGATCATCCAGAACACTTTTGTCCAGCCTTGGGTTTGAGTCAACATCCATGGTGCTTACATCAACCAACATCTTGTCAAACACAAGCTATACATTGCATTGTATGGTAAATGGCGACATCAAGACACTGATTTTCCACTCATTGCTTCTCTATACCACCTTTGCCAATTGCTACAAACAATTTATCAGTACCATCTCAGCAAGAGATCTACTGCAGCTTCATACACCTTACAAAAAGAATGAAAATTAGGTAAGTGTCAAAGCGTCATCGCTGAGGAAGGGAGAAGCTGGCCAGGCTGGTCTTACCTGAAAGGTCTGTCTCCTAGGGGTGAAGTCGCCGTGCTCCAGCTCTTTCGGTACTCCTCTCGTTCAGCTTTCTTCTTTCGAAGTGGAGCAGGTACATAGAAAGTCTGATTACTCTTGTTCGGGAGGTACTGGTTAAAAGGCACAGCTGATTTAGGTTCACCGTGTGAGGTCCGCCTCGCCAACATATCATCTTTTTTCACATCTGGCATCTTTCTGTGCGGCAGGTCCGTTTCCGAGTCGCTTCCTCTCCCTAGTGAGGAAGGAGAAGAAAAATCCATCTTCTTTTCACTTTCATCCAATTTTTGGGGTTTTTTTGTGTGGTTTTTTTTGCTGTTTTGTTTTTTTTTTTAATTATAAATCAGAGATGACACCATCAAAGATTAAATTTAGCATGTGAGCACCAAAAAATGAGGCCATTTTTACCTGTAATCATATTTTAAAATCAGTCACTGAAGGTGGTAGCCATAATATCTACACAGACAGTAAACATTGTTTTCCTCTCAACCCTTATTTTCTACTCCTGAAAAACTCATCTTCAGCCACAGGTCACATCAAAAAAACCCAGGGTCAGATTAAGCCAGACTTGTCAATCACAGAGGACAGCTACAGAAGCTTACCTGACTAAAGCCCAAATGACTCCTAGTTGTACAGATGGGTATGTTTGACCCGATTCACACTCTTGAACCTAGACTGACATGTGCATAGCATAAGCTCAAGCAAAAAAAGGCTGCATGCTGTATATTTACAGAATGGCAGGCATCTGTGGATGTTCCTATACACGCATATCAACAGCAATTTGCAGGCACACAGCATCAGCTTTGATCAAAATCTGAGAATAAGCATCAGCTGCTATAACCAGAAGATTCAGATGGGCTCTCTCCAGTCTCATTGGTTTGCCTGGTCAATCAGTCTAACACATTGCAAAACAGACAGAGAGATTTGATCCTCAGGTGGAAAGGTGCAAGGAGAGAGGGAAGGGATCTCAGGATTCAGAGGTTAGATCAGTGCAGCAAAGACTGAAGAATCCTTGCTGGCAAAGAAAAGAAATAAGGCAAGAGAGAAAAATCGAGAGTCACAGAGAATAAGATGGGAAATCAACAGAGGTGAGTGACTACTTTATTTTGTTCAAATGAACTAAGTTTCCTGATATTTACAACCCATTTAAAACACAGAAACTTAGACAAGACTTTTCCAACTGAAAACAAAACTCCCAAATGGAAGAACAAATACCTCAAAGATCATCTGCAGTAAAACTGCCCTCACAGCCACTTTGGAAGCCACTTCATAGACATTCACTAGATTCCCTGGACCATCATGAGCCTTTTTAAGTAATTCACAAAGAAGCCGTGTAAATAGTTCTCTCTCAGCAATGTAACATCACCACAGGCCCTGATTTGATGAGTGAAATGGAGCGTATTCAGCCATTTCTCCCAGCAGCACTCAAATCTCCCAGCTTTGGAGCATTGGGTGTCTCTGGCCCTTGGCCCCTTTGCACCACTTGCATATGCTGTTCCCCTTTTTGGGGCGAGGGGAAGCCACTCAGGTTGTGTCCTCTTGCTAATTCACCATGCTAGTCAATTACTAGCTAATTCACTGAGCTACCTAATGAACAACTGCAAACAATTAAATCATAAAAATCACAAGTAGCTTATGTATAATTAAAAGTGGGGGAAGGAAAAGAGGTCTAAATATGCTAGGAATGTTATTTGCAAAGAGCTTTTGCAGCAGCTTGAGTTATTCAATGTTTGCTTGAAGAGAGACGAAGAAGAGTGAAAGGGAACAGTAAAAAAAGACAAGACACGATGGAAGTGAGCTAGTTAGACAAAAATCGCAATGTGCTTTTTGCCAGTAATCTTTCGCTTGAACTGTTTTGGTTAAGAACATAAGATAACTAGTACCATGACTGGGAACCTGAGTCTACATCTAAAAAAAAAGTGGTGACGACCACATAAGCACGGGTGTCTGAGGATAGCTGAGGTCTGAAGAGCTGTAATACCATCAGACTGCGCAGGGCCACAGAGGAGCTGAAAGAAAATGAAAAGATCCCTTACTGTTATTTCCTATTCTGTTTGGTCTTGACTTTGTTCTGGTGTTTATTTTTGTATCACATGAAAACCAGTCTTGAACCGGCAGACAGAAATGTTGGAATAGATAACCACAGTAGCAGAGGAATTACAACAGATTCCTCTCCCTCATTATTGATGTGCCTAGCAGCATCCCCAAGTTGAGCACTTCAAAGACAAACAGCTTCTTTAATTATTCATATTTTACTTGTGAAATTATTTTCAGCTCAAATTTGGAAAACAAGTACTTGAAGCCAAAGCACTGAATGAAAGATGCAGCCGTGCTCTACATTTCTAACCTTAACTTTGTTGCTCTGCGTTTCCAAGTAGGAGAAGTAGCAGCCAGTTCCCACAACCCCTAGCAAGCAGTTGTACACCACAGACACGCACAGAACCTTTGTATGAGGATCCATGCACAACTGCCGGCCAAGGAAAGGATTTTATTCATTCCTCAGTACATTAGCAACTCTACGCACAGGTCAGTCTGCAATTCTACTGTGTTTTAAACAAACTGTTCTGTTTTACCACTGCTTTTGATTGCTTTTTGACAAGGGACAGGATCTGCATAGGACACCAGAGCAGTTCCTAAACAGCGGGGCTAATCACAGATCGCATTTGTGAAGGTAGCATTACTTATTGCTTCCACCTAAACTAATCATCACCTTAGGATCACTTAAGTGATCTCCATTCATTAATTTTTTTTTCTAGGAGTGGAAGGAATCATTGTTTTATCTGGCTATCATATTAGTGGGCTGATAAAGCTCCTATCTGAACAGAGAGAGAAGAAATGTGAGTAGAACCTTTTCCTCCATCTAGCTTTGCGTATACATTATTTCTATCAAAAACTACATGCAGCTCAGTGAAACACTGGCCTGCTGGGGCCACAGGAAAAGGCTCGAAGGAAAAGAGGTCAGCCAAGCTACACCTCACCTGCAACTCTTGGAGGAGACAGCTGTGAAGTTATGGCAGCAGCAAGCAGAGAAAATGGGACATATTAGAAAGGGCTGGCTGGACAAGTCATACGTGTGCACACAGCATCTGCATGGGTCTGGATATGGTTAAAGACTAATTTTTAAGAACGAGCTTTGTATGCTTGCATCTTATTTTGTATTTGTTATGGACTCAAGAATGCGACAAGATAGCATGTCTTAGCTGTGGCAAACAACCAACCACAAAACCCTATTAAAATCTGCTAATACAGGAGAAGTTGACAGGAATTGGCTAGAGGACATATGTGACCAGCTGCCCACCCGCTCCAAGAAGCCAGGGACACTGGGCACTCCCTGAGCACCCAGGACAGAGCAACACTTCTTGACTAGGACGTGTGAGGTGTTGCTATTTGCGAACCCCACACTTGTGTCCCATTTGGCAAGGCAGAAACACGTTTTGTAATGTGGTGACTGTGCTCTGTTCAGTGTCCGAGGGGGGCATGAGGCTGTTTCAGGGAACCGGCCCCAGTAGCTGGACCTGGATGGCCAACCAGCAACAGCCCCAATACCACAGGCCACTCAGAACAGCAGAGCAGATCTTAGTCCTGCTTTCCCCACAGCTCTTCCATAATTCAGCTGTAATACCAGCTCTCCCTGCCAGCTCTTCAGTTTTAAGGAGTTTCCCATCACCTTGGGAAATCTCTCATGTGTCCGGTTATGATTAGCGCCAGGTTCTTTCACACTGCCAAAAGCAGTATGAACATCTGGTTGCTACCAAAAAGTCTTTCTGCCCTTCCTATTTCTTATTAAATAAATAACATTACTAAGGAGAAGTGATTCACGTGTGGAACATAACTTCACCCGATGATGAAGTTTGACTGATTCATCTGTTCATCGGGAATGTAACCACGCAGAGGGAGCCTCAATCAAGTATCCTTTTGTTCTGAACCAGAATCCTGCTCACAACAGGTAACCTTAGCGCATGCTTCACACCTACTCCTAGCAAATCCTTCCTCATCCAGCATGCTGTATTTACAAGCCTCTGGAAGCCTCTGGGAACCCGACAAGGTAGGCACAGAAGGAGCACCCCTTCTGTAAGCCTAGAGCTACATGTCCTCACTCAAAGGTGTACAAAGGTGGCCATGGCACTGATGCCGGGAGCTATTCATTTACCCAATTTCCTAAATACCATGAAAACAAACAGAATATTCGGTAAAATGTTGTACAGACTTCAAAACTCTGTCAAGTATCAGACATTTCCAAGATATTTCTACGTCATTTAGCTGCCCAGGGTTTACTTAGGCAAACATTTTATTCAATATTTCCCTTTTATTTCTTACTCCAGCCTAGTTTATAAGTTAAAATGAGTCTGCCTAACGTCCTCTTACACCGTAACCCAGAAAAGCACTCTTCTCATCATAAAATTACACTGCAATGATGTAACTCATTTTCCAATGCTACGCTATCCTAACTGAGACAGACTTCAAGGAAGCTGTTGGCAAAGTCATCTAAACCTCAGGGAGCACAAATCAGCATTCACGGAGAAGTTCTCCCACCGGATTAGCACAATTCAGAGGCTGTGTCCAGCTTCTGAGTGGCACATTTGCTCCAGAAACATTACTCATACAGCACAACGCTACACACGTGCCACGCTGTGACCGGTACTCACCATCGCTGCTCCCTCTGAGCACTACATCTGGAGACGGTGTCTGCTGCGAGCGGGAGCCAAAGGAGTCCAGGCTGTCAAAGGAATCATCTCTGCCATGGCGCGGCGGGGAGAGGGAGCCGCTGCGTATCGCGAATGCTGCGCTTCGGGCTCTCAATATCCTCCGTTTCCTACATGGAAGTACAGCAGGTACCTCTTCATAAAGCAGCCACTGACGTACCCGTGAGGTCCGTCACACACCAGACAACAAGGCATCTTCCCAAATACTAAAATCTCCTCCCCAAAAAAGGGTTTATTGTTTCCTGCACCTTCTCCCCTTCAAAACTGAAGCGCAAGCTTGCAGTAAACCCCAATTTTATGCTGATTAAGAGGAAACCCCACTCATTAGACCAGCACGATGAACTGAGAAAAAGTTGCAACAGGCAAGTTAATAAATCGATCAAAACCGAAAGTAACCTGAAACTTGACTTGTCGTCCACAGTCCATAGCACAGGCAAAGGCACTACAATTTTAACATTGTGCCTCCATCAGGTTTATGTCTGCTGCTTTCCAAAAGATCCCCC